AAGGAAGTAGTTCTTAATGATATCATTTCCACAAATCAAACATACAAGTTTCGACGTTGAAAATGACTCGGCACCCATGCTGAAACACTATTTACGTAAATAAACTCGTTCCGTTAAGGCGGCACGCTGGCGCAGCTTCGTTTAAACTTTTAATCGCTTTCGAGCCGTGATAAACAAATTTTAATTAAGTTTTAATATCACCGCGTAATTGCTGACGCGAACGGCTATCGCGATCCTTGTTTATGAATATTTTAACTTTATGATTTAACGAAAATGCCACCCTCATCCCCTATTAGGATCTCTCCGTAATTCGTCTGCTCTTAAAATCACCAAAGAGCATAATAAGGTCGACCGCAACTGAGCATTCCGCATTAAAATGACCAAAAGTTTTCTCAATCCGGAGTTTTGAGCTTTCTCCTCCATTTGTCCCTTGGCATATTTTTTATTTATCAACTTAAGTTCTTTCTTTGTTTCTACCAGGCTTATTGTTAATTTCATTGTGTAACGGTCTCACTGAGGAAGTTTTTACGTAGCATTGGCTTCCCTGCAAATTGTTTACGGCTCGTAAAAAACTCGCCTCCTTTTTTACGCCAGCGCTTCAATTAGTAAAATCTTTTTGCAAGTTTACGGTGTTAAAGGAATATCTGACATAAATATCTGATTTCGTGATGCATCTTATTTATGGACACAAATCTAAATACATAATATGTTGTGGTTAGCTATATAAATATTATGAAACGACGTCAAGTAACCATGCTATGATTGATTATGACATCACTTAAGTAAGAACGGTACTGGAATTGAATCAAGCAACAAAAAGCCGAGCCCTCCAACTGAATTCAAATACAGTAAAAATTCTTTGTGTTCGACTTGACAAGTGAAATCGAGATAATACCACCATTTTTCATCTCCGAGGAGTGTGGACGATGCGACGCTATTCTCAACGAATTGTACCTCCGGGCATGAATTTAATCTTGGGATTTGGTGTGTCAGAATCATAAGGACCGTCACTTGGAGATATTCGCTCTGCTCAGCTTACTTAAGTTCTTATATTTCGTCTTGTTTGTTGCAAATGTTTATTGCGACGAATCAGGGAACAACGGCGCAAACTTCAAGTGCCGTCTGCGATTTGACTGCAACGTAAATATGAGAGATGGCATGCAGTAGTAATGATAGCAGTCGGATCTTGACAGCAATTGCACTTCGTATTTTTCTTGGGAATAAGATTTGCTTAGATGTTTTTGAAGTAAAGAAAAACAAAATATCGGTAATTTTTCTACAAAAGTTTCTAAGATGCGATCTAACAGGTGTCTAAAAGTCTCAATAGAGGCACAAAGTTTAATCATTATTCCAATTTCATTAAATTGGAATACCTGCCACAAGGGAGATAGAATTTAATATTAATTTACATACAGTACAGTTCAAATTAAATAACAAAACCAAACGATCTAAACTGCTTCACAAAACAACAAAAATTACAAAAAGAAATAAGTAATAATGTCACAGAATAAAAGTAGCATATTTTGCATTAGCAGCACAAAACATACAATAAGCTGCTACCAAAGGCCATTAAACGGCGTCTTAACCTCTTTACGTCCAGAAGATAAAGCCGTGTCGCCAGGTAAGCAAGAGGCATTAAAAATCGCTGCAGCAAGCATCAGATGCAATAAATCATAAGTGCATTATATCACGAGCGGGAGCTTCGTTAAGGAAAACAAACCTTTCCTACGGCGCGACCGGATTAATTTTGTACAGGCTTTGTCGTTATAAGAGGTTATTTTAAAAGTAAACTGATGATCTTAGACACTGCAGCTTAAAGTTTATGCAAACTGGATACTTTTTAAAAAATCCGTGAAAAATACTCAAAAGACAATGTTTTATTGGAATTCAAATACCTCTAAGTATTTAATTTAGATAGTGTTGTGGTTGCATTTACTGCATTTTGTTGGATAAAAATTCACATATCTAGCCATTGAGTTATAATGTACTACGTACATTTTGGCTCATTAGCCATAGTCATCATTAGGTAGGTACCTAGGCTTTGATGATAAAAATCCAGGTAATTAACCATATTTTCGATTACCAAATTAATAAAAGGAAATAATCTTAGACTACAAAAATTCAAAAAACTATTTTCCGAACGATTCACCAAAACCACAGCTCCGACGATCAACCGGCATTCAGCTGCAGACAGCAGATTACAAGTTGCAGTTACGGCTAATGAATGCGCGGGATTATGGTGTGGCGACGCGCGCCCAATTACACAAAAGTTGCCTGACACCGGGAATCCTGCGGGAATCCCGGGAATCCCCGGTGATGCCTTACCCGCTGTTACTTTCGGCACCATATTTGTAGGCTTGCTTTAACTCCTTTTGAAGTGTTTATGGTTTATGGGCAAGTGAAACTTATCGCAGCGGACGCATTGAAAGAATGAGATTTAATGCGCTGAAAATTTATGAATTGTTAAAAGTTGTAAATTGTTTTGAACATATTGTGTCGCATGAATGGTTCCACATTGCCTGCCTTTTTGTATTGAAAATTATTTTGACTATTCGCAACTCTTTTACCGAACGAATAGGTTAAAAAGGACAATGTTCGTTCTCCATACATTGTTCGCCGTTAGATCAACAGTGCCGAAATAATACTTTCTAGGTTCTAAATGACACAAATCTTTATGTAAGAACAATTATTCCTGGCGGACCAATTCTATAAACTTATTGATAGCAATATTGTTATCATAACCTCTTACTTACTAGTATTGTATTATATTATTTTATGCACATCGATTTGGGAGATGTTCTGTATTGTAGTTGTCGCAGCCAAATTGTATTATAATATTGGACGGGTTTTGGAAATAGCTCGGCGTTCCACTTTTATGATTTACTTACTTACATTTTGCACGTAAATAAATAACATGAATCCTATGTTTACTTTCCACTCTTGACATTTAACACGTGACTTACCAAACTAACTATCTCCATGGTTACCGTCTTAGTCTATGCATGACTAGGGATTGAACAACTTTTAATTGAATATTATTAACANCGATACAAACAAAAAAACTGAAGTATTTGAAAAATTGTAGTCGTGGTAATGTAAAATATCATAAGGGGTGTCAATTTTCGACGAATTTCATAATTTATTGTGTAACTTAAAAAATAATTGAGATAGATTTTTTTTCTTATTTTTCCTAAAGCAGTCATGACTAGGTCCACCCTGCGGCGCCGGCTTATCCTTGAATTTTGGGACACGTTGTATAAGTGACGTCCTTTGACTGACGTATCCCATCGTTTTTGCCATTCATTAAGTAGATCTTCTTCAACGACTTCTCGGGAATCAAATAATCGACTTATTTTAGAACGATCGCGGCTATTTAAGAAATCGGAGGTTATATTTTCCCTTGATGTGAAGTACATAGCCGCACGCTTTTGTACCTCTAAGTCGACCGGCAGTACACCAGCCAGGACTGGCAGAGCCTCCGTGCTCACAGTTCTGTAAGCTTTGCAAAGAAAAATCAATGCAAGGCGTTGACTTTGGAGTAGTTTCCGTCGAGCGGCTCCTATAGTAGCTCTTATAGAGATATATCATTTTCAGTTCAAAGAATCTTTCCTACACAAAGTTATTTATTTATATACGATATGTACGCCCTGCCTGCATTATCCCCGATTTTCTTTTACTTTTGACTTCTGCAATTCACTTCCTAAAAATATTCTTATTTCTCACTACGTTCTATCTCAATATACAGAAATATAGCAAACCAATTTGCAATTTAAAATTGACAACCAATGTACTTCAGTCTCATAATCACAATTAAATTCCAATCTCACTAGAACGACCACGGCGGCCCCCTCGTGGTAGGCCAAGGCAAGAGCACCGTAGTCGTAGGCATCATATCGGCCTGCCTCACCAAAGACCTCAGCCACAAGTGCTACGGGCCCTTCCTGTATACCAGCGTGTGGAAGAACCGGCACCTGATCAACTGCGCCATTGATAAGGAGATGGGGTATTGTAGCCTCTTTTACTTATGTAGTCGCATCGCAAAGTCCAGTCACCTTAAACAGCATATCCAACTTCTTGAGTCATCAATACTAGAGGTAAGTAAGTAGGTATTTCCTTTACGTCTGAGGATCTCAGCCACAAGTGCTACGGGCCCTTCCTGTATACCAGCGTGTGGAAGAACCGGCACCTGATCAACTGCGCCATTGATAAGGAGATGGGGTATTGTAGCCTCTATTTTAATATTTAAGTTTGAAGTCAAATCACGAAATGCATTCTCAACTGCCTAACCAAAGACTTGAGCCACCAATACTAAGTTAGGCCTTTCGTTTACGTCTGAATGAAGAAGAATCTGTTCAATTGCACCATTCATAAGGACTTGTGATTTAGTGTCTAATATTGTAGTGTGTAGTAGATTGGTACGTAAAGAATGACTGACCAAAGACTTCAGTCACTAATTGATACTATAAACATTTCCTTCTATGCGTTTGCAAGAAAAGGTTTTTGATCAACTGCTCATCTTCATAGTTATTTAGAACCTAAGCTTAAACGGGATAAGAATTCTATCCCTAATTCATTCCTACCATTGCAATTTCTCATTAATCGAGACTTTTGGCTGAAATGAATATTTTTTTAAAGAAAAATGTAAATTTTCAGAGCCACATGTAGAAGACTTCTGAGGTCCACCAAGACGCAGATCATTGAAACAGTGTTAAATTGGCCACGACAATCAGAAGGGTAAGGAGTTTATGTCCCTGTTTATTATTCTACGACTATGATGCCTAACAGTTATACGATAAATTATATATGGCACGAAATTGTTTACTGCGCAATGACGTAGATTTTCTCTGTTGGAATAAATATTTATATGGCTTTCAACTGTGTCTGTTAAGCCATCGTTGAATCTTAATAAGCATTGTTATAATTATTATAATGTTTTAGATACTTTATCTTATTTATAACACTAATTAGCTCTTAATTTTAGTGTATCGCCATTCAACGAGATGAAGCCAGCTAATAATAGCCTTCGCAACGCTCCAAAGCCAGCAAATGGTAGTCCTCGCAACGTTCCAAAGCCCACCAATGTAACAGGACACGCTAAAAGCCAAGTAGTCAGACTGCGTGACCATTCATAAACTTTTTAATAAACCTTTAAAATGTACACAAACTGTTTTGATTTGTTGACCCTATCATCTTCTCTTAGGATGCATTGTCTTAGATGTCCAAGGAAGTAACTAATAGTGTTTAAATAAATTTACGAGTTGAGAGTCATTAGGTATTATATTTTAGGCAGAGGGAAATTTTATTTACAAAGATAATTGAATCATACCACTTCCAAAAAAATGTAGGACTATCACAGAATAGGAAGAATATATCATTTACATTATCAGCTAGGTCATCAATATTAGGATCGACGCCACGAAAATGATGATTTGAATTGGTAGGTATCGATTTTAAGTAATTTTTAAAGTTGCTCATATAATATTAACAAAGGTATAAAGGTTAGATTTCTAGCATTAAGTAGGTCAGAATTTTACTCTTATTAAGAGAGAGAATTGCTATGCGCATAATGAGATGTTGGGTAAATTTAGATATTATTTTGTTCGTGAAGAGTACCTAGTTATTAGAAAAATTTAGAGACTATGGTTTTAAATAACCAATATCAGTCAAGGAAGCATTTTGTGAATGGGCAGACAAAATAATGGCTTCCGTACAATCAACTGTAGCGGTCACCGTGAAATTGTACCTAAAATATTAATTACAAATTGATTTCATTCAGTTGTTTTGTACACATGTGATACGATGATTACATTTTTTACTGAATATGTAACCTTGACTGTAATTTTATATGGAACATGCTTTATTTCAGGTTAGTTTACACATTTTTTGAAATCTTTGACGATATTTGCCTTAGCATTAACATCTTCGCTCTTATTACTTACATTGATTACTCCGTATTTGAAATATTTAAGTTTAAGCACTATTAATAGTTATGGACTTATTATTATTTCATTTATTTTCTAGGAATCCTTGCAATAGATGTTGCGACCACGATTCCTCCAAAAGTTCAGGACATTTTGAAGAACACAAACTATACCGATGTGAAGCAACTTCTGAACAACAGTCGACGGATCATAGTTGGATCAGAGGTTCATCACAACAGGCCCTATATGGTAGGCTATTAAAGTTTTTTTGTATATTCTTGTCTAGACTAGGTCCGAAAAACTCTGGTCTATTTTTTCTCTCTAACTTTTTTCCCATTCTTATATTCTGCCTGAATATCTTACCTTAGAACCTTTTTACTTTAGTACTGTCTTCTACATTATGATGGCTTCAATGAACCGTTTAATCAAGGCACTGTACTCGTTCCTTTAAACCAAAACTAATACATTATGTTTAAATAACTCTAGGTGTATCTAAAACTACCCGCTAACAATCCGAAATACAAAGACTACCGTCGCTGGCTCTGTGGAGGGGTAATCGTACATGAAGAGTACATTCTGACGTCAGCAGCCTGCATTGAAGACGCTAAGCATTTCTATGTTGTTTCTGGAACTTATAGGTAAACAACAACTAAAAAGTTTTACAAATTCCTACTTTTTTGAGAAAGATTGAAAAAAATAATTGGATTTTTTCTACAGACACAATGAAAGAGACGATCGCTATAGCAATGCGTGTATCAAAAATGGAGCAAAGAAAGCAATATGGAAATGTATTCCAAGAAGTAAGTTTATGTCTTGATTCTTTATTTGATTTGAAAAACTGATTCACTTATTACTAGGCGCATATGCATACTGCTAATTCTTCGGTACAAATAAAGAGGCAAACAGATAATCTATTGATTCGTATAATTTCAGATTACGTTTTTGACGGTCACGAAAACGACAACATCAGATGGATGAACAACGATATCGCCGTCGTTAAAGTAGAAGATGAATTCGACTTCACCCGACGCGTCAGAGGCTGCGATTTCATCCCGCGACCAATATGCTATAACAACGAAAGTTCTAAACTGGAGAACCCTGGCACTGTTGCTTCAATTGCTGGATGGGGAAGCACTGAGAAGTATAATGATGTATGTTTCTATTTTCATCGAGATACAAATTCTATTTTTCATTTAGATCAAGAAGACGGTAACTTCTTTAGTATAACTACTGGGTGAATTTGATGGTTAGTAAGATAATAATATGTTGGTTTTCAGTGGTCAAGTCCTCAACAAGACCTTCTAGATACGACAGTCCGTATAATATCAAAGAACCGCTGCAAACGTCGATGGGGTCGCCGATATCACAACATCATCGATAACTACATGATCTGTTCAAAGGATCTTGTCCCAGACTTGAGCGAGATTTGTGCGGTATGTAAGGTTAATAAGGGTGCGTATATCAGCTCATTTGGCAACTATTTCATTAAGGAAACCTAATGATTTTAGGAGAAATATGTGGATTGCACCGATATAATGTACTCAGAGGAATCTGGCGAAGATGCACGACGAGTTTTAGCCCCTACAAACTTAGTCCTACATTCTGCTCATAACGACTCCTCTAGACGGCAGGCCGGGCCTGGCAGTGGAGGTTTCTGTGAGGTTATTTGCTTTTCTACTCAACTATTCGATATATGAAACTTATCTTTGTCATAAAAATAATTTTGAATTTGAATTGTAGAATGACCACGGAGGGCCTTTAGTATACGGCGATGGCGTAAACTCTGTAGTTATTGGTATCATCTCCGCTTGCCTCGTCAAAGAGCGGACTAACAAGTGCTACGGACCTTTCCTATACACTAGCGTCTATAAAAACCGGGTGCTCATCAACTGTGCCATTTATAAGGACGTTGCGTAAGAATTATTCAAAACGTTTAATAATGTAGGTAAGTGAAAGACTCCATGATTAAATCAATTTCTTTCCAGGCAAGACTGCAACAAATTGTTCCGATCGAGTATAACACATACAGAAGTTGAGATGAGTTGGGTGGATCACCCTGATGGGTAAGGAATTAAGGATCATTAAGTCGAATTTTCTATATTAGTTTCTAATGCATAGATAATAAAACAATGTTGAACAAGAACTAATAGTGATATTGATGTTTTAAAGGCCATCGAAGAATGAGATAGCTAAAATGAGGCGCAAACAATCTGAAGGAAATTCAACGAATGAAGGTCATTTGCAGAAGGTAGCTTTGGATAAAGCAGAACAGCATGAAGGGGTTATAGTCAGAGCGTTTACAGGACAACCTGAGGAGACAAGTACTAAAGCGAATACTACGAATGTATAATAAACTCTAATAAAATTTACATTTTTATTATTTCATTCCCAATGAAAACATTTTCTGATGTTAAAGCAATCAATCGCTTGAAGTTGAGTTTATTAAGTGTGTAGTTTGGGTAACTAGGCTTGAATCACTGACAAACCAAAAATGAATTTCAAATAACATAGCTTAATTAATATGCACTCAGTATCAAATTATTACTCAACTCCATAAATGAAACAGACGATGACGCTATAGAGAGACGCATCCCTACCTACATGAAACATAATAAATTGTTCTCTCTCACTTCACGCAAAATTATCAAGACTAAACAAATGGAAATGTCTAGGACCTACCAATTCAATTTGGAAATAGAATTTATGTATGTGATGAAAAAAGATAGAAGTTCTATCAATAGTAGGTATTGGGGAAAAAGCAACTTATTTTCGTTTTAATTAGGTAACTTGTAATAACTTCATTGAAAGAAAATGCATAGGTTGTAAGGAAAAACATTTTAATGAGAGTAGTATTCCATGACTGTGCTTACATAATTTCCTTGAAGCTTTCGTATCTAAATAACTTTTTAATGTTTGCATCCTCCGTGAAATTGTTTCTGATTAGTGATTTCAACTATTTCTACGTCCTTCTGTATTGTAATAACGAATCAACATGAAGTGTATTTATCTTGTGATTTCTATTATTTTATACTTTTCAGGTTTGATATGAATTTCTTTTATTGTTTTGGCTTTGTTACATTATTACAGCAAAAAATTAGTAGAATCTAATGCAATGATGCTTTTTATATTAATTTTATATGAACAGCTTTGATAAACTTTAGAAATGTAAGAATAGTTAACACATTTTTTACAGACATAGAAGCTATAGAAGTAGCTACTGAACTACCAAAGCAAGTTGAATCCATATTAAATGAAACGAGAAGAATTATAAACGGAGATGAAGTTACTGATAGTCGACCTTACATGGCAAGTATTGTACAACTACAAGAAATTAAGAATGTAGTAACTCTTTGCTCAAACTACAAATTATGGTAACGAAGTCCCATATAATTTGCGTATCATCAGGTATACCTTAAACTGCCAAGAAGTAACAAGAAGCAGCCAAACTACCGCACTTGGCTGTGTGGTGGCGTCATCATCCACGAGGAGTACATTCTCACTTCTGCCGCTTGTATAGAAGATGCTGAACACTTTTATGTTGTTTCTGGCACGTACAAGTAAGTTAGAATCAGGAAAATTGAGAATGTTTACTAAATAGTCTTCCAACTTCTAGAATTTGCTACATACGGCAGAAAGATTTATAGTAATAAAGTTATCATAAATTGCTAGGTATGCAGATGAAGATGACCGATATAACAATCCCTGTATTAAGAATGGAGCAAAAAAAGCTATTTGGAAGTGCGTCCCTAAAAGTAAGTTAAATTCAAACCGTTTAAGGATAATTACAATCGAAATGGACATCACGTTGGTAGTTAAACTTATTCACGCAACATTTTTTAAAAATCATGGTCTCACTATCGCAAAATTACCAGATTACGTCTTCGATGGTCATGAAAATGACAACATCAGATGGATGAACAACGACATAGCTGTGGTCAAAGTGGAAGATGGGTTTGACTTCACCAGGAGGATCAGAGGGTGTGACTTCGTCCCGAAGCCGATTTGCTATAACAACCAGAGCCAGACTTTGGAGAACCCTGGCACTATTGTGTCCATTGCTGGGTGGGGTACTACGTCTAGGTATAACGACGTAAGTATCAATGATATCACTATAATAATTAATAAATTAACTTTATCAGCTAGACGGGGACAAATAAGTTAAATAAGTAAGATGTTTTCAATAAATACAAGATCAGTGCATTTGTTTTAAAGAACTGGTAACAAAAATATTGCTATAATTCTAGTGGGTAAACAGAAGAAAGGAGAACCAGCAGAATCTTCTAGAAGCTCATGTAGAGATCATCACAAAGACCAAATGCAAGAGGCGTTGGGGAGCTCGCTACCACAACATCATTGACAACTACATGATCTGCACCAAGGACATCGGTCAGACTATGTCTGAGATCTGTAATGTAAGTGTAATCTTCAAGGCGAGAGTGAATAAGCATTTACAGGGCAGATATGTACCATCCTAGACTGCATCCCACTTAACATCAGGTGCGATTGTGGTCAAATACCTGCCTTGTTATGCATAAAAAAAAAAAGTGCAACGGACCTCCGCCCTTTTACAATCAACGTTTTGTACTTATTTTCTCTTACATCTTGGTTATTTGTCTTCTAGTTATTCAGTTCTTACTTAGTCTTTTCGTCGTTAGTGTTCTTTCTGTTCCAATATTATTCTTGCTGTAATACTTGTACAATCCTTCAAAGATCACTTTTGATTTTCACTGGGCTACTATTCAGTAGTAATTTGTCAGAATTGGTTAACATTCTGTATGTGGCTATGTAAGAATCTGACCAAAATAGCTCTTCACTATTTCGTGTTTCACAAATGTTACGTTTATTTCACAGGAAAAATACGTAGACTGCCAAGACATAAACTACTCGGACGAGGAGGACATGCGTCGTGATGCCCACGTCTTAAGAACGGAGAAGATCCCCACCAATCTGAGACTGCACTCCGCTTACCACAATGAAACTAGTGGGAATACGTCAATCGTTGCTGGAGGGAGGAGGTACACTTCACAGCCTGATGGAGGATTCTGTGAGGTAATAAAACTTATTCTGTGAGGTAATAAAACGCGCTCACTATTGAGCGCGTTTTATGTAAACTCACACTCATCCCACTGGTATCGGTTAGTTGGCTATGTGAGACTCTCCCAGCCAGGGGCCTACCCTCTAAATCCCAACAGTGTCCCCCGGAGCCATTGACACGAAGCCGCGAGTAATTGTCCTAAAATTGGACATTGGTCCGCGGCTCAAAGCGCTGCTAGCTTAGGGCACATGTGTTTTTATGGTTTCTTAAATCTTCAGTCTAATAATCCTAATCTCTTTCTAGAACGACCACGGAGGGCCCCTCGTCTACGGCAACGGGGTCAATTCCATCGTCATCGGGATCATCTCTGCCTGCTTAGTCAAAGAGAGGAGCAACAAGTGCTACGGGCCTTTCCTGTATACCAGCGTCTTTAAGAACCGACAGTTCATCTCTTGCGCTATCTATAAGGATATAGAGTACGTTTTTATTAATTTCATCTGAAATAATATAGCTTTCTTTGTGATTTTGTGTACGTCCCATTTCTTTTTACAACATGACATCTTCAGACTAAATGGGTAATTATATCGCAACGTCAGAAAATGAGGATTTTATTATATCCAAATATTTTTTCAGACCTAAATGCAGGCGTCAGTTCAGGTCAGGAGTCACACACGTGGAGAAGGTCCTGTCATGGAAGAGTCATCCTGATGGGTAAAATAACAAATCCAACTTTTATTCATATAAGAGAGACAATGGACATGGCGCACAATTTTTGTTGAAGATGCAAAAAAAAACTACGAAAAATTAGAATGAATACTGTATTTTTACTTTTTTGATATCTTTAAAAATGACTGAAATATTCAAGCTCAAAGTGCGCTCTTCCGCTAGGAGCGATTTTCCGCGCGGATTTTGAAAATGTGACGTAGTAACATGAAAAGCTGCATGTAAGATATTATCTGTGTACAATGGTTAGAATGGTTAGTAGGGGAGCCGAAGCGGGGATATCGGGAGATACTAAAGAGTGGCAGACTAACATACAAGGAAATACTTTGTACCTGGTTGAGTACCTCTAAGTAAGAATTTTTGATATAAAACGGCATTAGTTCTTATGCCTCTCACCCAAAAAATACCTCAATTAAACCCAAATTTGAGACCGCATTCAAACTTTGAGTGACGATGGAAACTAGCCTAGATGGAGGATACGTCATGAAATTGAACTTCTGCTTCTTCATTGATAAAGATTTATCATTTACCATACCTTATCATTTTGTATTCCATTTTCAAGTCACTTTTTTTTTCGCTTACTGTTTAAAAACACAAACGTGGGATTTTTTTAAAATCTCAGGTCTTTTGAACGCACATCTGAACGATGTCTGGTTTTAATTTCTTCAGTTACATACTGGGTGGCGCAAAAGTAAAGACCCTATTTGGTTCAGCTATAACATTTTTTCTAAATTAGAAAACTAGATTTAGGTTTTTTTAAATGTATATTTGTGCCATTAAATTTCGTACCATTAGGATTTAAAGATGATGTCTTTTAAATGGTGACCTCCAGAGTTGATACACATTTGAGCCCTATTTATGACATTTTGCATAACTTGCCGTAACACTTCCTGCGATATGTTCGTTATTTCTTGACGAATGTTTTCTTTTAGAGCTGCGAGAGTCTGTGGCTTGTTCACATACACCCGAGATTTCAAAAAACCCCAAAGAAAGAAGTCTGGACTGGTCAGATCGGGTGATCTTGCAGGCCAAGGCAAATCGCCAAAACGAGAGATAACTCGGCCTGGAAAAGCGTCCGTAAGAACATTGACACAATTATTCCACGTTCTTGGGGAGTAAAACGGTCCATGTTTATTTTCAGTGTATTTTACATTTGTTCACTACACAATTTTCAACAACAAAATGACAGAAAATGTCATATAAAAAAAAAAGTATTTTCTTTAGTGCCAGTACTTTTGCGCCACCCAGTATTATGGAATACATATAAAATACTTTTATTATTTAATTTTTTAATCCTCAAGTGTCCGTTACAATCTAATTAATATTTAAGTATTCAAAAAGTAAGAGATTAATTTTGATACTTTACTGCTGTGCCCAGGAATCTAAGGCGGTTTCTGACAATGTCCTTTAACTATTATGTAGTTTTAAATAAATAAAAAGTAAAATGTTTGTAAGCTCTGAAAACGTATGTAAAATATAAAAAGATGTTAATTTCAGCTATCATATTTTGGTGTATTGTTTCACTATTCATTAGAGCTTGTTACAAATATTACCTTAATTACCAAATGTACTCCCCGAAACAATTGATATTACCATTCATAGTCACTTTGCTACTCGAAACAAAAAGGCTAAATGTAAACCACATCGTACTTAACCTAACAAGTAATTTTATTCAGCAGTAAACATTAATTCTGAACTGTATAACGAGTAGAATCCTCGTATTGTAAGCTCGCTTATAGTTCCCAGTAGAAATAAGCGGCCGTAAAAGCTTTCCGTCGACATTTTTATATTGCACGCATCCGTACCCCGCACGTACAAGTAACATACAAGTATAATGCTTTGAATTTTAATGAAAACTGCGATGAAATAAGGCTAGGTGGCAAAGAGAGCACGGTTCAATCAGTTGGTTTGATGTTTGAAAGAAGAATTGTGAGTTTTCGTTTCAGTTTGCACAATTTATTTGGTCAAAATAGAAAAAAACATAGACATTTTCTAGAATTCAGGCTGATTCCCAAGATTTTATTTCAGATAAGCTGAACAATAATATCAGAAACTTTCCACTTTCTCATTTTATCAATCCAAATCAGGTATTATTCCGATTATATCGAGGTGCATTTCATTAAACTAGAAAATACGAAAACACACTTTGCATTGCAGAGTTTAAACGGGTATTTCTGCTTAAAAAAGCAAAATTCAATACTAAGTTTCATATTATCAGTATCAAATCCGATCTACGTGCCTTCGTATAATCAGGCGGATAAAAGAGGCGTGCTCATCTCATTCCGGCGTTTTAAGATTTTATAAAATATCGCCGTGGTATCTCACGCAGCGGGGTTTTGCTTTGTTCCGATTGTTATTATCTGCATTAGTAGGTATTTAATGTCGAGAACCTTATCTGGATAATTAGTTATTTAGATTAAATCTTGTTAGTTAGGCTAAAGATTTCGCTAACGTGAACATAGAGTTTTGTCTCAAGAATCAGAAAAATAAGAAGGCAAAGAAGAATTATTGTTTGATAGGTTCTAATAGGTTCTAGTGGATTTTCAGATTTAGAGCTTGATGTCTGCAGCTGTTGACGTTTTCAGTGGATAACGCATCTTAGTTACGCTACAGACACCCAAACTGAAAGAAAAGCAACTCATGTAGGTAGGTGCAGTTACTAAGAATGGTAACAGTTCATTAAAGTTTGCTGATGGTCACGAAAGTGCTAACAACGCCTGTTAGCGGTTCATTCAAGTAATTTAGTGGGAACTAGAACTTCTATTATATTGCAAGGATAGATTGTATAGCATAGATAAAAAGTCTTGAATGAATGGTATCACATCCACGGTATTTTTAAACGAAAGAAAGACAAAACTCCACAGATACACCATAACTACAAAGTACATACATTAATGTTTACAATATCGTCAATGATGCAGAGTATTCAAAGCAAGTTCGTGTTGCACGGACAACAAAGCGCGAGTCACGTAAGCGCATCCCTAGCGGCCGCGGGCCGTGGACCGCATAAATAGTTAAATCTACTACTCTAATACAATTTGTAGTAAACCATGATCCCGACGCTAAGGTCGCATTATCGGATTGGAAAAAACTGTTACTGAACAATTATGCGACACACAAAATGAAGCTTAAGCGCGTGGCCGCTAAGTTGGTATTTGTTTGCGAGTGCAGACGTGAGTGCGAGGCGAGTTTTACAATGTTCATGTGACGGCGGACCTTTTTGTTGGGCCTTTTGTGCGGAGAATCCGCGATGCCCCCGGGGTCGTCGGGCACGATTTCCATTACACGAGAGAGTTTTTCGAGTAGACTTTTGCTTTTAGAAAATTTTACAAAACATTTAATTAGGTTTTTGACTGGGCCGTTATCGACTGTTTCAGTGACGCGTAGAATGCCCAAAATTGATTTAAGGTGCACTTTGGCATGAAAAAAAGGTACAGCTTTGAATCAATGAAAACATTCGGACTTGGATATAAATATACTCGTACTTACGTGGGTTCAATTCCCGCCTTAGGCAGTTCGATTTTTTCAAGTTGTTTGTAGGTAGGTAATCGCCTTAGCAATTCTAACATCCTATTACGTTAAATCAAAAGTAATTCACTCCGTTCCTACATTAACAATGATTCCTTGAATTGTAGGGCGTTTATTAGTGCAGCGGATCGGCCTCAGACGTGGCCCAAGCGGCGCAATATCGGCGGAGCACGTCCAGCCAGTATATCGGCGTCAATCTAGGGCTCATCGCCTGGATCGCATGAGGCTGGCATTCGGTAGATGTACAGTCGACATTTGCAATTCTAACATCTTATTACATTGTCATATTAATATTTGACAATATTATTATTATTATCAAAAGTAATTCACTCCGTTCCTACATTAACAATGATTCCTTGAATTGCAGGGCGGGTAAGTATTAGTGTAGCGGATCGGCCTCAGCCGTGGTCCAAACGGCGCAATATCGGCGGAGCACGTCCAGCCAGTATGTCGGCGTGGATCTAGGGCTCACCGCCTGGATCGCATGAGGCTGGCATTCGGTAGATCTAGATGTGCAGTCGAAAACACTCAGATTTCCAAATCGCATTTATTACAACTAAACTAGCGTCCCGCCCCGGCTTCGTACGAGTGCTAAGTATAGATATAAACATCCCTCTCGAATCACTCTTATCTATTAAAAACAGCATCAAAATCCGTTGCCTAGTTTAAAATATTTAAGCATACATAGGGACAGACATAGGAAAGCGACTTTATTTTATACTATGTAGTGATAAAGCTCCACAGTGTTTATTTCGATGTGTACATTCCCAGACACAAAGTGGAAATATTTTGATAAGATCAATTATCTTAATTTTCTTAGGACCTGAGATAATTTCTAAGTAAGGTATAAATGCTACATCTGGCTAGTATTCATTACTGAATTAATTTCATAAAAACATAGCTTACGTACCATTTTTAGGGACTGCGCCATAAAGAGAGTTACTTACATTTTCTCCTTCTAGGTAGTTGGTTACTCTTCGCTCAGTGTATTGGCTTTTTGTGTAGAAAATTCTCCATCTGTCGCAGTTCAAAGTCACCCTTCATTGACGGTAAGTTTCTTACATGTATGACAAATAATAATACATAAAGGACGAAAACGAGAAAAATCCGACTTGCCAAAAACATCCGACATGTAACAAGGATACATGACTTACTCGGGGACAAAAGTCACGCCGAACATCTGTTAACCAACTTCTTAACTTCTGCGAAAGAACAAAGTGGTATATGTGTCCTGAGGGCTGGGCGAGGCGCGTCGGGGCGCAAGTTTTGGTATAAACCTCACTCAATATAGGACCGACTTTGTTTTGTTTCGAAGCATGGGCCAACCGCAATGCTACGGCTAGTCGATTTGAATTGAAAACATTACGAATTTTTCGCATATTGTTTAACGGAATGTTTTTATGAACTGGTAGCAACACGATGGAATGAGTTGGTGAATTTTTTCAAGGAATACTGTCATTCAGA